GATGGTCCTGGCCGAGCTTAGTTGTTGCTAATGCCCTTTTACTACCATTTGCGCATGCATTCGGACAAGCAACAATCTTACCTTTATTATTAATTCCATTAGTAGAATTGAATGTTGAATTGCATGATTGACTAAAACTTTTTACAAGTGTTCTTTCTTATGGCTTTATATTAATTCAGTGAAGCACTTAATTTTTGGCTTATCTTTAAACTACTGTTATAATTACTTCAATGGAACTTAAGCACATGCTTACAAGTTTTTCAGTAGTGCCTAGATGACTTAGGAGCATACCTTTTATTAAATTTCAATAGAACCTATGTGTCTAAATCACTTTGGGTATGTCTACACTTGCACCCTCTTTCGAGAGAGGGGTGGAATGTAGAAATTCAAAATTGCAAATGAAGCTGGGATTTAAATATCCCACTCTTCATTTGCATAATTGCGTTATGGCGCTATTTCAAAATAGTGCTATTTCGAAGTAACAAATGCTGTTAAGATGTGGTTATTTTGAGAGAAAACCTTATTCCTCATACAATGAGGTTTACCAGTTATTTCGAGAGAAGGATTTTCTCTCGAAATAACCGTGTCTTAACAGCATCTGTTATTTCGAAATAGCGCCATAACGCAATTATGCAAATGAAGCATGGGATATTTAAATCCCGGCTTCATTTGCAATTTCAAATGTTTTTATTTGCATCCCTCTCTCAAAAGAGGGTGCAAGTGTTGATATACCCTTAGTATTAGGCGTATATTATAAAATCTCACAAACACTCACACTTGAATAACTTTACTCATACGATATTTCACTGACTTCAGAGGGAGCTGCTAAGTGCTCAGCGCTTTTGAAAATGAGGTCACTGATTTCAGGGCTCAGATATCATTTTAGGTTATAGCTATTAAGCATTTTTGAAAAGCTTCTTGTGTGTGCTCACAAATTCTGGCACAAAGTTAGCAAACACCATTCCATATCCTTAACTCCATTAAATGTATAGGATTATAGTTCTGATTTCTATTATGTCGTTTAACAGATGAACATCCCTTCCTTATTGCTGTAAGAGATAATATCATTTATGGGATTTCTCTTAACCCTGCGGAGAAGAGCAATGATGCCATGGTTCCAATAGCAGGAGTCCAGAATGGTGTTGATGTTGATTTTGACAGCTCAGAACAGATGATCTATTGGGTTGAAAATCCTGTAAGTTAATTCTTGTATTTGAAATGTGCACTAAAGGGACAACACCCATTATAATGATACTCCTGTCTAACTTTTTAACATACTACTACTATTATAGATAATGCCTTCATTACAGTAACTCAAAGAAATGAAAGAAAATATTTCTTCATAGTTTTTTCTTTTTGTTTATTAGTCAATTTCATTGTTTCTTCTGTGTATTCAGTTAGGGCTTAATCCTGCAAACACAGGGACTACTAATTAGATAAAGTTTTTCATATGTGTGAATGTTTCAAGGGTTGGAGCCTTCACCTGTCAGTACAGGAAAAAAAAAGGAAGGGGGAGTAAAATGTGATTTCAAAAATGCAACAATTTGCAGTGAGCTTTGGGGAGGTATAATTCTCTGAAACTAGTTTTACCTGATTTTAAGTACTGACTACATTTGAAGTTGATGGTGCCCCTTTAATGACTGCTCCTGCTGAGCTAATAAAAGGACTTGTTCTCTAAGGTCAACAAAAAAATGTTTCCCAGCTTTTGCAGTGTGGAAGCTTATTTAAAAGTCTGTGGAAGCCACTGAAGTTGACTTAGTAAGGCGTCTGCTGATTCAGCAACATGCAAGTTAGGCTGTGGAAACTCCCTTTTTAATTTTTGCTGTGCTAAGTCCAGGGGAGCATGGTGTCAACCAAGGAGTTCTCATGAGCTGTGCTATGCCGCAAGTTATTCATGTTAACATTTTTCCTTCCATTCATCTAGGGATTTGCTTAAACTTTCCTGTGCAGGTAAAAGTGCTGAAAATTTCTTTTATTCATGATTTTTTTGCCTTATTTTTTTGAAGATTTCTTAAAAACTAAAAAGGAGGAAGAAAACTAAAGAGAGCTAATAATGCAAGTTTTCCCTGCGAATATGTGTTCAATTTTATAATCAATTTGATTCAGCTATGTTTATGTCCCCATTTGTAATGAACTTTCAAGCAATCAAGTTTTACTAGCAAAAATAGTAAGAAAAAGTAACCTTTAAAGTTTCATAAGCAAGTATTCATGAAAACCCAAGCCTTGGTTCTGCAAAGGTTGTTTTGCTTGTTTAAACACATACATAAGCATTTGCAGGATCAGAACCTCATTCAGATGCTCCTGTTTTGTGGCAGAAGTGCATGTATTCTAATTCAGTCAGGGAACAGAAAAATATACCTGGTATTTAACTGCCCAATCTCAACTAAGCAACACAGCTGGAATTTTTAAGGTTTAATGAAGGCATAAAATAAAATAAAAATCAAGTAGATGTTAATCAAATAAATTCCAATAGGGCTTGATTCTGCCAGATGCTGAGCATCTTGATTCTAATGCAGCAAACATCTTAAACATTTAGAACATATCTGCACAGCAGGGCAAAGGTTGAATTAAGCGACACAAATTGAGTTACGTCAATTGCGTATCGTAAGTCGAAATAGCTTAATTCGGCTTTTGGTGCTGTCTACGCAACAGGAAGTAAAAAGAAGAAAACTTTTCCTTCGACTTCCCTTTTGCTTCGTGAAATGAGGATTACAGGAATCGGAGCGAAAAGTCCTCCAGCTCGCCATTATTTCAAAATAATGGCTTCAATGTAGATACGAATAATAATGCTCCTGTATAGACATAGCCTTACTTAAATGTAAGCATCTGAGTAATCACTTTGATTTTAATGGAACTACTCATGTGCTTAAATTTATACACATGGAGAATCCTTCGGCACCTTGCAAAATCAAGCCCATAATAATGGTAAGAAGGTAGTTCTTGCCTTGCAGATATTCTAGGAGGAAAAAAATAGCTAGTTTATTTCAATAAATAATTCATTTTAAATAATTTATTCAGCACTAAGGAAAATAGCAGCTATTTCATAGATCCATATATTCCAAAGACAGAAGGGGCCATTATGATAATCTAATCTGCTGCAATACTGGCCGCAGAACTTCCCTTAAGTAATTCCTAGAACAGAGCTTTTAGAAAAACACCAAGTTTTGATGTTACAATTGTCAGTATGGAGACTGACCGTGACCCTTGATAAATTGTTTCCATGGAAAATTGCTCTCATCATTATGAACTTGCACCTTATTTCTAGTCTGAATTTCTCTAATTTCCACATCCAGCCACTGGATTTTTTCTACTACTTTGGAAAGCCCATTATTAAGTATTTGTTCTTCATTCAGAGACTGTGAACAAGTTACCTCTTTACCTTCTTTTTAAGCTAAAAGAGCTTAATCATTCTAAAGTTACATCATGCATCAAAGTTACAAATTCTCTGTAGTTCACAAAGATCTCGGGTAAACATAATGTTGGTAATTTCACAAAGCTTTACGATCACACACTCTGATCTTATAGAGATGTAGCCGTGTTAGTCTAGTCTAGCTGAAACATAAAACAGGACTATGTAGCACTTTAAAGACTAACAAGATGGTTTATTAGGTGATGAGCTTTCGTGAGACAGACTTTGATCCCTCAGATCAAAGGGGTGCCAGAGGCAGGCTCTAGCCAGGAGACTTACCAGCCAGCAGCCCAGCACTTTCCTGAAGCTGCCTCCCTGTCTGTCCTGTCCCTGCACAGGCTGCAGCCATGTGCTTTGTGAATAACAACAAGCCTGGAGGGCAGGGGCCATGGTGCTTCTTGACCTCCTGTTATTGAAACAGGCAGCTCCCATTGGCTGGTTTTTGTAGAAGCAGCTCCTAAAACTTTCTTCCTTCCCCACCAGGCTCACAAATTTTAAAGTGAAACTGCCCAGCAGCCGCGTTTCTGAGCGGAGTGTGGGTGGGGTGAGGCAAGCGGGGAACCTGCCTGGGGCTCCCTGCTGCATCTAGGGCTGGATCTGGTGGCTTGGTGGGCCAAATCCGGCCCACACAGATATAAATGGTTGTAGCTGAAATGAAGTAAATGGATCTGTCACAGTGAAGGGTCCAGCTCCCAGTACAGCCGGTCCCCGACTTATAAATGGTCAATTTATGACCGTTCATACTTACAACCAAATCTCCCATTAAGCGGTCGTAAAGGTGGTCCCCGAGTTATGAACGTGATCCGCGCTTACGAACAGTGTAGTTGCATGTAAATGAATGGGGTCCAACTTATGAACACTTCGAGTTATGGCCAAGTGTTTGGTCCATAACTCGTTCATAAGTCAGGGACCGGCTGTATGTAAAGTTAAGCATGTACATAAATTCTTGCTGGATTTATGTACATAAATTCATGTTGTGCCCCAGCTTCTGCTTGTTCATCTATACACAACACTTCCCCCTTAATTACAGGTGTTGAATAAAATAATTAAAAGTAACAAAAACAAAGAGATCCCTTCCAATCCACACACACTCAGCATATCACCAAGGCAGGTGCTACCCTGTCTCAACATCCTCTGCTTATAAGCCTTTGGTACTTCTTTGCATGACTTATTCTTTGTTTGTTTATCTTCCATTTCATAGACTGTAAACACTTCATAACAGATACTTGTCTTATTACATGTCTGTGAGGTGTGCGGGTAACTTTAGGTGGATCAGTAAATAAATAAATAATAAGCACTTACCAAGCTCTTGAACACTACTGTTTTGTTTTTTAAGCTTTTTGTTAAGGTGAAGTTACAATAAAATGTTACCATGTAGCACTGCATTACTTTTCACTAGTCAGCCTCAGATTAATAATCAGAGAACTTGGCTAAAGGTTTTGACTTCCTGGTTGGTAAGCCTTCCTTCTCTGAATATGCTAAAAAGGGTGATTGAATTTTTAAATACCTGTCCTTTTTTTGTCTCTTCTCTTCTATACATACTTGATGTGAAAGCTTTTCCATTGCTAGGACAGTCCATATTTCACTATATCATAATTCCATAAGAGAAGACACATTTTTTCCAAGAATGTGCAATGCAAAGTCTTGTTGTGAACAATAAAAAAAGAAATTATCTTTCTGTTAATGTAGGTCCTTTACTGGAGTGTTAAGTCAGCAGATGAGGGAATCTATAGGAAGCCAGCATTTTGTCATAGAAGACTAGTGTTTTCACTATGAAAAATTTATTAAAGTAGGAACAATGGGACTGGAATACATTCTTTCTTGGTTTTCCCTTTGCCATAGATATAGTCGTTGGAGGGAAGATTAATTGTCTATCAGTGCTGTGGAGATATATGCCATTTTGTTATAGCAGTTACCACTCCGTAAAGGCTGAGAAGTTATGCCTGCTTATGACAGCAGTAAATTTGACCCACTGTCCACGCAGTTATAGTCTCTGTAGCTGATAAGATTCTTGCTCTCAGAATGCCTGCTTTAATGATTAGATAAATTCCTCTGTCAGATATCCCTGAACAAGTTCTGTAAAGTTCTATAAAATATACTCAGAATATCAACAAAGATCAGCTGTACTAGTCATATCTGTGAACCCTCTCTGGTCCGCATCCTTCTGGGTGTATCTCTGAGGACATTCCTAAGAGGTGTTCTATACTAGGGATTTAAAATCCAGTTTAGTTAGTTAACCAGTTAAACATTATTTTTAACTGGTTAACAGATTAAAGAGAGGCAGATGGAGGAGGGGCAGCTTCAGCCCAGCCAGGCTGGAGCAGCCCCTCTGCCTGCTGGGCTGGAGTGCCCTACCTGCTGCGGAGTGGGACTACTCTGTAGGGTAGCCAGGGGTCCGGTTTTGAACCAGACAGTCTGATATTTGAGCTTTTTGTCTGGGAAACAAACTGAGAAAATACCGGACATATAAATGCTTGGTATTTTCTAATTAAATGAGTGGTATTGTTGTGAGTATCAATACGTAGCTGCACACTGCGTGAGCGTGTCTACCAGCCAGGCAGTACGCAGCTACGTAGTAGAGAGAAGGGGGCGAGGCCGGGGCAGGTTGGAATCCCCGGGGCCGGACTCACCCGTGCACCCCACTGGGACCGTGTACAGGATGGGCAGCACCTTGGGATCTGCATGCGCCCGGGCCAGCCCCCCTCCTTCCAACTCCCTCCTGACCAGCCCTGCTTCCCGCCACCTGGCTCCTTCCCCTGATCTCCACTGGCCAGCCCTGCTCCTTCCGCCCCCCCCCCTCCCAACCCCCCCCCAGCCAGCCCTGCTTCCTGCTGGCCAGCCCTCCCCCCCCCTCCAATCAGCCTCGCCTCCCCCTGACCAGCCCCACTCCCCTCCCAGCTGGTCTCCCCTCCCGTTCTGAGATCATGTGTGTCCGGTATTTTTTTGAAAGCCATCTGGCAACCCTACTACTCTGGCCCAGCTGGAGCACCTCTGCCCATGGTGGGTGGGGGACTGCTCCAGTCCCCCACTGGTTTACTGTAACTGGAAAGTATCACCCAATAAGGATGATGCTTCCTGGTTAACTATTCACATCCCTAATCTACACTACTGCTTAAGTCAATATAGCTTATGTCTCTCAGGGATGTAAAAAAGTACCCCCAAGTAAGTTATTGACCTTAGCGCTGTCCACGCTGTCATGGACGTGTAGTAATGATGCCAATGTGAGAGCACACTCCAGTTGACATAAGTGTCATCTACAGAAAGATTGCAGCTAGTGCTGGATATTCCATAGGGTCTATACTCCTAGAGCAATAGTGGGTAAGATCACCAGGATAAAGTTAATCAAGTTTCCTGACATCATAATTCTTTTCAAAATACATATCTTAAGTTATACTGAAGGAAAAATGTATAATGTTCCTTTTTTGTGTTTACCTGTATCAAAAACATTTATCACAGACTTTCCCTGAGTTTTTCCTCATAAAGTATTCACAGTTTAGTGGAATTATATATAACTGTGAAAGATATAAATTGCAACCTTCTATTCTGTGTAACAATTTTATATCCTACAGTCAGGATAGAGATTAGTAATGTTGCTTTATATAATTTGGCTTTTATGATTTGAAATAGTATTTTACAGCTCTTTTGTGTACCCTGCACATGCACATACGTTCTGCTAACAATGTTAGTTTTGCTTTTTCCTAAGCAAATTAGTATCTTGTAAGGGAAGAGGAAGAAATAGGACATAGTCTTTGTGACACTGATCTTGACATTTTCTCACTTTTTCCCCAAGGGTGAAATTCATAGGGTGAAGTCTGATGGAACTAACAGGACAGTATTTGCTCCAGCAGCTGTTATTGGTGCTCCTATTGGTCTGGCTTTAGACTGGATATCTGCAAACCTGTATTATAGTAACACTGGCACACAGTCAATTGAGGTACTTTTATACTCAATATAATTTAAAGGTGAAAGCCTGACTTTTTCTTTCAGAGGCTATACATGCAGCTCCATAGCAGAGAGGCATTCAGGGGGAAAACACCTGAAAGCAGCTTTATTTTAAAACTGAGTATTCAGTATTCTTTAAGGACAAAATCCAAGAAAAAATACAAAAGTTATTAAGAATCAAACTTAAATCTGGTCATAAGTGTATAGATAAAGTGATTTTAAAAGCAGTACTTCATGGGAGCATCCATTAACCACTGCACAACTCTTTTTCCTTCAAGTCAACAAGTTCCCCAATGCTGTTTGACATCGATAAACCTCAGAACACCAGGTGGAATAATGTATTATGGTTCCGCATTAAAATCTAAGGTCCAAATCCTGTGCCTGCTGAAGTTAGAGTCTTGTCATTAGCTGCAATGGAAGAAAGTTCAGGTCCCAAATGCTGTGGTATGGTTCCACAGAGTCTAGCAGCCTAGAAATACATAAAGGCTAAAAAAACCAGAGTTATCTAGTGTGGAAAGGAGAGGAGCAAAAGTGGTATAATTTAATGGATGTCCAGAGATTTCTCTGTCCCACAATATAAAAGGGGGCCCTGTAATTGAATTAAAAGGAAGCTAATTTTACATAGGTTAAAAAGAAATATTTTGTACAACAGCATGTAACCAACCTGAACCTCATTTAATACCTTTGTGTTATACTGATAAATGGAAACAGTTTAGTAAGGATTAGTGATTTTTATGAACAGGAATAATTTGGAGTTACTCTAATGACATTAATTATCACTGGAAACTTTTTGAGTAGAACTTGTCAGAGGAGAGAATGCATTAGAGAAGTATAGTGTTTTTTCATCATAATGCATGTGGACTTTTTCTTTTGCTTGGTCCTGTGTGGGTTTATGCTGACCAGGTTTTAGCTTGAAATTTTACTGTCAGGTCCACATTGGATACCCTAAACTCTGTTAAACATTTATGTAGGTTCTGAAGCTACATGGTGAAGTAATGTACAGAAAAACCCTGATTACCAATGATGGTACTCCAACAGGAGCTGGAGTACCAATAGGTTTGGTTGTTGATCCAGCACGAGGGTGAGTTTCCAAAATAGCTTTTGTCTTTATTTACGTTTTATTTATAGTGAATACTTTTTTCAATTGTTCTATTTCTTTCCTAATTTTTAGGGCTTCTACATTGATAGTGGTGAAAATTTGTTCTAGGCATAAAATTGGCATTCATAGAATTTATATTTTAAAATTATATTTGGGTTGAATCAGTTTAAGTCTTTTAAAGCTATACTTAGAGCCTAATATATAATAGGATCAATTACATGATTGTGTAAATTGCTGCCTAGTTACAGATTGTTTATAAATTGTCACTTAGGCTTTGCTCCAGAATTCAAATTTTCATTAAATAAAATAATTAAATCTCAAGCCATTTTGACTGCAAAGAAAGCCTTCAAAATATCATCCTAGAGTAAAGTGATACTATGACGACTGTTGGGTTTTGTATATAAAGGGAAAAGGTACCATGTTAGAAATCATGTTAAGTTACATATTTTAACTCCCATGATGATGTTAAACATGCTTTATGTGTTCCACCCAAAATGGCAAATATGTATGTCAATATTTATTAATATTAAGATATGTCTTTGTGTAAAACTGTATATATAATATTACTAATCAAGCCTCAAAAAGCCTCCATAAACCCTGACAAATTAGATTCCAGACTTGGCTGGAAAATTTTTGACAAATATTTTTTCATCAGAATTTGCTGATTTGTCAGAATGGAAATGTTCTGCATGCTTGTGTTGTTTTCCCCAAAATTATGCTGGGATCCAGTCAGTTTCCAGAGGTGCCAGATTTGTTGTTCCGTAGCATCCTGGATGGTTGGTAGGGCTGGGTGGAGAATGATAATTTCATGCTGTGAAGATCTTAGACGTATTTGGTTTTCATTCCCAATAAGAACTAAACACAATTTTGAGATCTCAGAATCCTCTGCAAAATGGAAACAAACTCCCCCCCAGCTGTGTTAGTTTTTTAAAATTCTTAAAATGTTGCAATATAAGATGTTGTGAATGATGCAGGATAGAAAATACGTATTCTTAAACTATCTTTAGCTTGACTGTGTTCCTATAAAGTGAGACATTTTGTTCAGCATTCGATCACTACTCAGAACATACTAAAGTCCTTTGCTGAGCAGAGCAATAGACTTAAACACATTCTTAAATGCTTTGGTGAACTGGAGCCTTAGATTCTTATCTGCTTCTGTAATTGCTGGGATAACATATGTTGCAGGAAACTGTATTGGACAGACCAAGGAACTGACAGCGGTGTCCCAGCAAAAATATCCAGTGCAAACATGGATGGCTCAGATATAAAAATCCTCTTCACTGGTAACCTTGACCATGTCGAATTTATTACCATTGACATTAAGGAACAGAAGTTGTACTGGGCTGTCACAAGCACAGGAGTGGTATGAATATTTTTATACTGTTGCTGTAGTGTCTATGTGCCCATTTCTGCAGCCCTTCTTCACATGAGCAGTGCAGTTAAGATTAAGTGAGACTAATCATGTGACTAAAACTTTCAGTTAAAATATGGTACGATTCATATAGTGTACAGTAGTTACTGGACTGGAATGACTCTTGGTTTTTGAATGTCAATGAAGTTGAATGCCTAACTGCCTTTTGTGTTTGAGTAGGGGGAAGATACAGTAATATTTATTCACCAAATAGAGCATTGATCTAGTGTCTGTATGGAAGAGGGCATGCTCATATGTACCATACTATTAAAAAAGCCATAATGTTTCCTCCAATGAGCAAATGATCCCTTTGAATGCTCCTATATGCTGTTCGTATATGCTGTGGTTGGTTAGGGGTGGGCAATAATTTTTAAAAGGCAGGCCAGGACACTTCTATGCTTCCCCACCCATAGACCCTGATTGGCCTGAGGATGGGGGAGTTTGTGAAATTTTTACCTCCCACCCCCCAGTGCCTAGAGCCAGCTGTTTTAAAACAGCTGGCAATTCCCTCTCGGTGCTGCAGCAGGAAGCGACTTTGCATGCTTCCCCTGTCCTCAGGCCAGTCAGGGTCTGGGGGCAAGGGGAATGTGCAAAGTCCTTCGTCCCCTACTTCTCCCTGCCAGGGTTGTGAAGTGGTGCCGCTAGAAAGAACTGCTGGGTGCTTTTAAACAGCAGTTTCCTCTGGAGCTGTACGCCCTGGCAGGGGAGGAGTCTTTGCGTCTCCCTCATCCCCAGGTCTCGATTATCCTGGGGACAGGGGAGCGGCAGGGCAGCTGCAGGCCAGATCCCCCTGGCTTGGTGGGCTGGATTCAGCCACTGGGGCTATCTTGCTCACCCGTCTCAGTGTGAGCAGATGTCTGATTCATGACAGACATGAGTGTACCTAGGAGGTCCAGAATGGCATTAGTTAGAACAGGTCTTCAATGAATGACACCAAAGTTTGCAAAAGAAAAGATACGATCAATTTACTCCTTTTTGCTAGTTTTAATGAACAGGATTCTAACAGCTACTTGTGCCATTTTTTAAAAAAAGAAAAAGAATAAAGTAAATGAAAATACTTGTGTGTATAACTTTGCTTATGTAATCATTTTCCAAGTGGCTTTTATTGTAGATTGTTGGTAGCTGTTTTGAACAATGACACATTTGTTAAATTTTAATGGAAAAAAATAGTTCTCAAAAAAACAACTCTCACCTCAAACCTGAGCAAAACGCATAAGATTTCTGTTCACAGAAAGAGTTTATCAGTATATATACAATTCTAATGAAATTCTAACTGATGTCTTAGATTGAAAAAGGCAATGTGGATGGTACAAACCGCGTGACCCTGGTTCTTCATCTCTCTCACCCCTGGGGAATTGCTGTCTATGATTCCTTTCTGTACTATACTGATCGAGATTATGAGGTCATTGAACGGGTTGACAAGTCCACTGGAGCGAACAAAGTGGTTATGAGAGACAATGTTCCAAGACTGAAGTGCCTACGAGTGTATTATAGAGACAGTGAGTATCTACTATGATTTAAAGAGGCAGTGTCAGGAAGCCCCTTGATTTTGAAAAATCTAACATTCTCAAAACCTTAATCTGAAAAATTACTAAATTGAAAGCAAGACAGCGTGGTGAGCTGCAAACCACATGTTAGTAAGGTGCTGGTTTAAGTTTCTGAGAACATCTTTATGTTTCATGCAGTGCATAGAAATGTATTTTAGCGTTTCTTGGCTGTGCAGTATTTGCTCATTTCTTTCCAGTCAGATTTCTGAAGTATACAAGAATCATGCTTTCCAAGAGCATTCCTTTCCACCCAAACTAAGAGGGCAGGGCTAATTTTAGGCTTGCCAACTTTGATGGCATGTTGATAAAACATAAACTTTTGGGATATGCGGTATGATTTATATCTGTCTTTAACTCAACATTTTAGTGCTATTTTGTATTTGAAGTTCTGAGACAAATTAATGTTACTGCATTTTGAAATATTTCTGTAGTAAGTATCTTTCTTTTAAGACTTTCAAGAGGTTAATTGGAGCTCACAAGAGATAATCATAATGGTCCTTTCTTGTCTTAAAATGTCTGAATGTAGTTTTATGGTTGTTTTTGTTTTTTATTTCAGTGTGATTTGTAGTAATGCAGTATGGAAATAATTAAAGTACAGTAACTTTCACTGCTCTGTACTAACCTGTGTTCACTTTTTCCGGGAGAGAAGGGAGTTCTGATTGATTGTAGAGAGAGTTTTCACATGCATATTTGAGATCTGAACTTTCATAATGTCCAAGGGTGTTCTGCTCGGCTACGTCTACACTGGCCCCTTTTTCGGAAGGGGCATGCTAACTTTGAAAGTGGGAATAAGGAAATCCGCGGGGGATTTAAATATCCCCCGCGGATTTAAATAAACATGTCCGCCGCTTTTTTCCGGCTTGGGGAAAAGCCGGAAAAAAAGCGTCTAGACTGGCCCGATCCTCCGGAATAAAGCCCTATTCCGGAGGATCTCATTCCTACTTCAAAGTAGGAATAGGGCTTTATTCCGGAGGATCGGGCCAGTCTAGACGCTTTTTTTCCGGCTTTTCCCCAAGCCGGAAAAAAAGCGGCGAACATGTTTATTTAAATCCGCGGGGGATATTTAAATCCCCCGCGGATTTCCCTATTCCCACTTTCAAAATTAGCATGCCCCTTCCGAAAAAGGGGCCAGTGTAGACGTAGCCCTCAAGTTTTGACATCGGACTTATTGCTACAGGTTGAACCTCCCTAGTCCAGCGCTCTGTAGTCTGCCAACATCTGTCATCTGGCATGATTTTAGTTAGCTGGATGTACACTTATGGGTATGGCCAAGTTTCCCACGGTCTCATAAAGTTTGTTTACAGTCACCAGTCCTGGCTCTCAGTGTTCTATGCTGTTTTTTAGCTCTAATTTCCCCTAAATGTCTTCTAAAAGAGCCCAGTAAGAAGTAGAAGAGCGGGTAAAAAACAATATTGCCTTTCCGTGACTTGGCAAATTCTCTGGTTTGACAGTGGTCAGGTTCCTGAGGGTGCTGAATGAGAGTTCAACCTCTAGTAAATGTATTCATGTCAGGGCTCAGATGTCCTCAAGTAATTTGTAAAACTAATTGATTAATTTGCAGTGAATAATATTTTGCGATTAATTTTTGTATCACTTTCTATTTGCTAGTTGTCTATAAATATTTTTCAGTTTTTCCAGTATGTTCCCTTTTCAAAATTATTTACCTAATAATTTCTGTGAAGAATCTCAACATTTTATTATGTTATTTGATATTGACATGTGAAATGCAATCCGTGTGGTTAATATTCATAAGAAACATTGGTCAGATGATGGTATCTTTGTTTTCTGACTGAAAGAGCATAATTTATAGTATTTCTAAGTTCAAAATTCAGTTTCTCTAGGGCTACGTCTAGACTGGTATGATTTTCCGGAAATGCTTTTAATGGAAAAGTTTTCGGTTAAAAGCATTTTCGGAACAGAGCGTCTAGATTGGCACGGATGCTTTTCCACAAAAGCACTTTTTGTGGAAAAGCATCCATGCCAATCTAGACGCGCTTTTCTGCAAAAAAGCCCCGATCACCATTTTTTGTGATCGGGGCTTTTTTGCGGAAAACAAATCTGTGCTGTCTACACTGGCCCTTTTGGGCAAAAGTTTTGCGCAAAAGGACTTTTGCCCGAATGGGAGCAGCATAGTATTTCCGCAAGAACACTGACAATCTTACATGAGATCGTCAGTGCTTTTGCGGAAATTCAAGCGGCCAGTGTAGACAGCTGGCAAGTTTTTCCGGAAAAGTGTCTGATTTTCTGGAAAAACTGGCCAGTCTAGACACAGCCTAAATGTTTTAATATTCATATAAAATTCTATTTCTCATGAATATTCCTGGATATAACTTCATTTCCTTGAATATTCTCAGAAATAGAATACCAGGAGGATATGAATACTTACAAAGCAAATTTGGTTTTTTATTTGAGGACAATGTTCTGAGGCATTTCCCAGCTCTAATTATTAGTTGTGGTTATCCAGTTAGGATTTTGCTGTCACATCTATTTTTACAGTAAGTTTACAGATATAACTTCAGCTGAATAACTCATTCTGGAATTTCATTAGCTAGTTTACTTCAAATTTATATTAGAGTCAGATCTGATCCTGAAAAAATATTCTCTGTTGAAGATCCCTTAATTGTCCAACCAATTGTTTTATTATTAACATTTATTTGCCATGGTTCAAAATGATTAAGATCCCTACTGTTGCTAGCTGCTTATTGTTATTAGTCATTTTCCTGATAAGTGTGGGATGTGTACACATTTTATTATAGAATAATGAGATCTAATAATGAACAGTACATTGCCGAGGTTTTATCTGCATCTGTTTCTTTGTGACAGATTCTGCTGGTGCCTCAAATGGCTGCAGTAATAACATTGGAGTTTGTCAGCAGCTTTGCCTACCTATGCCTGCTGGACTGTTTTCTTGTGCCTGTGCTACTGGCTTCCAGCTAAATCCTGATAATAGGACCTGTTCTCCATATAGTTCTTTTGTAATTGTTTCCATGCTGTCTGCAATTAAAGGATTTAGCTTAGAGACATCTGATCACTCTGAAGCAATGGTGCCTTTGGCAGGAAGAGGTATGTGAAGATTTTAGTGGACGAGAAAATTTCTTTATGCCTAATGTTGTCATTTTCTGTTACATTTGCAATGGTCTGGTGATTGCTTATCTGACAGATGGTGCATTTCACAATGAGACTAATATGCTGAATTATAATATTGGCAAGGGATCATGCCATTGAGGTAAGGAACATATACAATGCACTGGTCTCCATATAAAGGCCTACATTTTCAGAAGACTACCTCTTTTTGCAGATGTAGTTTATGAGTTTAGTTTTAGCACACAGTAAAACTAGACTTTATTAATTTAATATTCTCATATACTATTTTAAATACTGTGCAGCAGAGCCATAACATGTACGGTAGTCTATACATTAACTGAGAAGCCAGTTATATGATGTTCACTGAATGTTTACATACACAGAGCGTCTTGGCAATGTAAATCGATGTTAGATATTATGCCATAAGTTTGTTAATATCAATTCATTTGTTATTTGCACATAACACAAACCATACATTTTAAATAAAACATTTTCTATTTAAAATAATTGGTTGCTTTTGAAAAATGTTTCAGGACGAAATGCACTTCATGTGGATGTTCATATGCCTTCTGGTTTCATTTACTGGTGTGACTTCAGCAGCACTGTTTCTTCTCAGAATGCAATACGTAAAATTAAGCCAGATGGATCGTATTTTAGAAATGTGATTACAAATGGAATAGGACGAAATGGAATCCGTGGCATTGCAATTGATTGGGTAGCAGGTAAGCAGAACTGCTGCATAGCTGAATTTATAATAAAAGATTATTTTTATATCTTGTAGGCAACTTTAGATTAATCATTAGTTTTATAGAAAAACTCATGGAAACATTTGAATAGGAAATCATCTATCCTATTACATAGTGCTGTGTATTGCAGACTGATTTTAAAATGAAAGAAATGTATGAGGGTCAGCCATCCCTTTGATCCCTACTGATTACAGTAGAAGTTGAATGAACAAGATAGAGTATTGAATTTTGCTCTAAACCACGCGTTCCAATTAATATTGCAAGTTAAATTGAACAGCAGGTTATAATTACTGCAATACTAATTTTTTTTAGAAAACATTTCTTCATTCAGTGCTACACGGGAGATCATTGTCAAGTGCATAATTTTTCTGTCCCTTGGGGTATATCTAGACTACAGGGATTTTTTTTGAAAAAAAGTGGCCTTTTTTCAAAAAATCTTTACCTGCGTCTAGACTGCTGCCATGTTCTTTTGAAAGTAAATCGAAAGAATGTAGCAGTTTTTTCAACCATGGAAAACCTCATTTTATGAGGAAGAATGCCGTTTTTCGAAAGAGCTCTTTTGAAAAAAGGCGCTATGTAATGCAAACTGTGCTTTTTTGAAAGAGAGCATCTAGACTGCCTGCGTGCTCTCTTTCGAAAAAGCAAGCCACTTTTTCGAAAGTACTGCTTGTAGTCTAGATGCTCTTTTTCGAAAGAATCTTTTGAAAAAGCCTCTTTTGAGAAAGGTGTGTAGTCTAGATGTAGCCTTTGGTGTGATTCCTTTCAGGCGTGGCGACACTGCACCCTTCTTTTGTCATTGTAGCATGCATACCCATGGGTATATCTAGCAATGCAGGCAGTCCCCGACTTACGCGGATCCGACTTATGTCGGATCCGCACTTACGAACGGGGCTTTCTTGCCCCGGAAGTCGGAGCGAGAAAGCCCCGTTCGTAAGCTGCTCCGGTGCCCCTGGTCTCCTGGAGACCGTCTCCAGCAGACCAGGGGCACCGGGCGGGTTCCCGCGCTTCTGAGGCTTTGCCAGAGCAAAGCCTCAGAGACGCGGGACCCCTCCGCCTCCCCGGCTTTGCTCCCGGTGTCCTTGGTCTGCTGGAGACGGTCCCCAGCAGACCAAAGGCGGGACTGGACCTTTACTGCTGACACCAGCCCTGCTGGTCCACGGCGCTGCTTTGGTTGGGGGGAAGAGGAGAGGCAGGGAGAGGACAGCGCAAGAGAGGGAAGAGTAGAGCAGAGGTGAAGAGGAATGGTCCTGACCCTTCCCTGTGTTGGGGGAGGAGTTGCATGGCTGGTGGTCCCCCAGATGGCCTCTGACCATTCCCCTGTGGTAGAACCGCATGTGAGCACATGACCAGAGCTTCTCTGAGCTGCCATTTCCCCAGCCAGAGGGAGTAGGGGATGACATCAGAATGAAGAACCACTTCCTCTCCCCTGCTAGGCAGAGCCCGTGGGCCCGATGCAGCCTGTAACTTGCATTGATCCAGCCTGTTACGCTTGGGATTCCGGACTCCATAGCAGGACAAGCCAGCTCTGGCTTGCTCTGTTGTGGGAAGAGAGAGCCCAAGCCTCGTGGGCCGGATCAAGACATGCCGCATGCTGGGCCATAGGTCCCCATCCCTTTAACTAGATACAAATTTAATCACTAGCAGAACTTAAAATTATCGATAAGGTGAACTGATTTCGAAAGAACATGGTTTTCAAAGAAGAATAAATAAATTAAAACTAAATAAATATTTAGCTACCAGATTGCAGAAAATATCTCAAAAGTAAGTGACATGTTATTGCATATACAGGCAGTCCCCGACTTACGCGGATCCGACTTACGTCGGATCCGCACTTACGAACGGGGCTTTCTCGCTGCTCCGGTGCCAGCAGAGTTGCTCTGCCCCGGGCTTCCTGGAATCAGCTGCTGATCAGTTTCAGCAGCAGCTGACTTGGGGACGCCTGGGGTTCTTAAGTTGATTCTGTATGTAAGTCAGAACTGGCGGTCAGTTTCAGCAGTGTCTGAATCTGGACGCCAGTTCCGACTTACATACAGATTCAACTTAAGAACAAACCTACAGTCCCTATCTTGTACGTAACCCGGGGACTGCCTGTATAGGCAATGAGGCATGGCTTAGGTTAGTACAGACATGCCTGAAGGGTATGGATCTGATCCCTGCTATGTACCCTACATGGCTCTCCACATACCAAACATTGCCTCCCCATCTAAGCTGCAGTTTTTAGCAGTGTAGTGTGCTGCTGCTGGAGCCTTTCCTTGCCACAGGAAAAGGCCCGAGCTGTGTGGAAATGCTTGGCTAGCTCCCTCCCCACTGTTGGAACTCTTCTCTGCCACAGGGAAAGACTCTGGCAGCGGGAAAGGCTCTGGCAAGGGTGAAGCAGTGGGGAAAGGCTCTGCCAATTCCTCATTGCTGAAGCCCTTCTCTGCACCATGGAAAAACTCCAGCAGCGAGGAACAGCTCTTGCATAGGAAGGCTGAGGGGAAAGACTCAGCCTTTCCTCACTTCAATGAAAGATTCCATCAGCAAAGAGCTGCTGGTGCATTTCACCTCTGCCTTCCCTCTGCCAGAGCCCATCACTGGCATGTATAGCTACACAATTTAGGTGGATGCAGTGTGCTTGTTTTTCTGGCACGTACTACGCATATACTACATGCTGTCACCAGTGGTGCATAGACATGATGACTTTAGTTTCAAATAAAATGCCAAAAACATTAATGTTGATTTGAAGTTATGTAATGAAACAAAGACTGTTGAACTAAATAGTTCTTGTAATATGAAACCATTATGATGATTTATACGATGGGGCAAATTCTGCTCTCAGTTATGTCTGTAAAGCCCACAAAAGTTAGTAAGGACTGATGAATGAATCAAGGGCAGAATTCAAATCATGTTATTTTTTGGTGCTGTTTGTCTAATAACTCACATTTAAGTTTTATTCTTAAGGTTCTTTGTGCGTTGTCACACTATTTGAGTCTTTGCTTATTATACTTTTATTTTATGATCAGGGTATCAGCTTGTGTTTCTCTGGTTTTGAATTAAATTCTGTTAATTTTTTTTTTACAATGCAGGAAACCTTTATTTTACAAATGCTTTCCTGACAGAGACTTTTGTAGAAGTTTTGCGTTTAAACACTACTTATCGACGTGTTCTGCTGAAAACCTCAGTGGATATGCCAAGGCATATAGTAGTAGACCCAAAAAACAGATACCTCTTCTGGGCAGATTATGGACAGAATCCAAAAATTGAACGTGCGTTTCTTGACTGTACCAACAGAACAGTGCTTGTGTCTGAAGGCATTGTCACACCACGTGGCTTGGCAGTAGATCACAGCAATGGCTACATTTACTGGGTTGATGATTCTTTAGATATGATTGCAAGAATTCAGCCTGATGGAGGTGAAGCAGAAATTGTTCGCTATGGTAGTCGCTACCCAACACCATTTGGCATCACCATCTTTGAAAATTCTATGATCTGGGTGGACAGGAACCTGAAAAAAGTCTTTCAAGCCAGCAAGGAGCCAGGCAACACTGAGCAGCCAACAGTTATACGAGACAATATTAATTGGCTGAGAGATGTTACCATTTACGATAGCCGTTTTCAGCCACGGTCTCCCCTCAGTATCAACAACAATCCTTGTTTGGAAAACAATGGAGGTTGTTCCCATTTGTGTTTTGCCTTGCCTGATGTGCAGGCGCCCAAATGTGGGTGTGCCTTTGGCACACTAGGAAGTGATGGCAAGAGATGTTCCATTTCAACAGATAATTACCTGATTTTTGCCCTTGAGAATGCGCTTAGAAGTATACAGCTCGATCCTGAGAATCACAGTCCCCCATTTCGCACCGTGAATGTGCTAAGAACTGCAGTGGCTCTAGATTTTGACAGCATGAACAACAGAATATATTTTACACAAAGTTCTCCAGCTGGGACAGGAAAAATCAGTTACATTAATATTTACTCAGGAACTGGTACTCCAACTATAGTTGCATCAGGTAAATGCTATTAAACTTGGTCCAAACTAACTGGATAGTAACTAGTTAAGATTATAGCATCTGATCATTAGCTTAAATAGTTATAGTATGTTCATTTTAATGATCAAGACAGACTGTTGAGTTAAGATATTCTCTCGAAAGCTTCTGTTGACATTTCTGCTTAGTTTTTTTCCTTCTTTCTATCTTTATCAGTACTCACACAAACTGGGAAAGTACAAGCCTTGTTAATATTACTACTATTTGTTTCCAGCTATTCCCACAATGTAATGGGCACTGAGTCATCATATAGGAAGGCAGAGAGTCTCTGTCCCAAAGAATGTACAATGTAAAAAGACAATGTAGATGAAAGCTTAGTGGATGTAACATACAATCAGAGTGGTCAAGGTGATGTTTGGCCATGTCTTGGTAATACAGTGTTGGGTAACACAAATTTTGATTTTTTTTTAACTTGTTTTTAAAATTACTGTAGACTATCTGCAGTCTCCTATTAGCCTTGGCACAACCAGTCAGCTTGGTCCTTGTAGGTGACAATGGGAAATGGGTCTTCAAAAGATTTCAATGAGGGAGGGGACAGTGATCTTGCATTAGGTATTCAGTTCATAGTGAATGAGGGGGAAGAAGACACAGAATGGGGAGAAAGCTTAAAAAGAGCTACAGGCTGTTTTGAGAAAGCAGAACTATTCATCATAATTGCTGAGTTAAACTGTTTGTTCATAGTAGTCCAAGTCCTCAGGTCCTTAGCAGGGTCTCTGCTGTGCCTTTTTAGTGCAGCCCAGTGTAGGGTGTGGGGTGGGACTGCACCTCCCTTGTGGAAGCTTAAGGAAAGATTCTGTCTTGAAATGCTGCTTATTGCTGTACCCTTTCCAGGGGTACAACTTACTGTCTCGGTCCCTCTGTAGGGTGGGTGTAGAGAGAGGCCAGGGCAATGTCTCAACCCCTCCCTACTCTTTTCTGTCTCCTTTGGAGCAATGTGAATTCCCAGAGTATTAGTGAGGGAGGAGTCCCTGCACTTGCTGGTGCACAGAAACTGCAATTCATCTTGCCCTTTAAGTAGGCCCCACAAGTGTCTTGAGTGTGTGTGCGCGTGTGTGCGCGCAGGGGGGAGGGGGAGGGGCGTCCTTGTCCATTGACTTAACCCACCACCACTTCATACCTTCATAAGGGCCTGTTTCTTAGGTTTTTACTTAGGCAAACTCCTATTGATGTCACCTGGATAAAAGCCTCAGGGTTTGACCCATTATGCTGATGACTGATTTGGTGACGTGTATGGCAATGTTTCAGAAAGCTGTAATGAAGATGTTCTCCTTTCCTAAGGTTTGGGAACTCCAGATGGCATAGCCTTTGACTGGATCAGTAACAGAATTTATTACAGTGACTATTTGAACCAGACTATCAGCTCAATGGCTGTGGATGGATCTAACCACACAGTGGTTGCTCGTGTTCCACGTCCTCGAGCTATTGTGCTAGATCCTTGCAGAGGGTATGTGTTGCTCTTTTTCTTCTAAAATTTTAATGACTTTTTTTTTAATTCTAAGTGAGGCTGGTATGCTGCTGATAGCCAAGGAGGCCCTATGCCTCCCAGTGTTAGACCCATTTTGCAGAGAAAACTCCCTACTCTTAGCAGTATGGTTGTTTTTTGTTTTGTTTTGGGTTTTTTTGCTGTGAAATATTGTCCGCATTGGCCTTTGAAAAATCAGAGTTTGCTCATGCTTAGTTAGAAGTTTGTCAAGAGTTTGGCAGCCAGATTCCATGAAGATTTTGTTGGTACTGGGCATGCATCTAAGGCTGCGGGCTGAGCATGACTTTCCTTGCAAATGGTGCTTCTGGCTGCTGTGGGGATAGGCACCAGAACTGAGAGCTGCTGTGTACCCAGGCTCCTCTTCCTGGTGCCTGTGCAATGTGGAAGAGAAAGTAGAGGGTCAGAATTAAGGTTGCATGGGGATCCTTAATTCTGGTCTTTCCTAACTTTTGAGTGTTTGATTTTGAAACTTTGATATTCTTTATTTTTAGTTTTTTGGATGTAGTCTAAATGTAAGATTTAATTTAGATATGATACTAGGCTTTATCAGTTAAATTTAAACAGATAAAAGCAAGAGCATTCCCAGGTAAACAGTGGGCAGAGAGTGTGAGCAATGCTATTTTTAGAAAAGAAATGAGAAGCAAAAATGATGTAAGTTTGGAAATGTGTGTGTTGGAAAATAACAGCTTGAGGGCACTATGTGAATTGCACTGAATTCAGTGTTCTGTTTCTGGGCCAGTGCAACAGAGTGTGTAAATGATAGATCAAGAATGATGCAGGCAAGATGAGAAAGTGCTTTGCAGGTGAAAGCAGAGGACCCGCAGAAGACTCCTCCAGCTGATAGTGACTGCTAGCTAATCTTGATAGGTGCCAGGAAGATCTCTATACTAGCAGGAAGAGACATCCAGCACCAAATATTGGTCAGACTAGACAGAAAAAATAATGGGAAGGCATCCATCCAGCACTCACCTGAACTGAAGAGAGGATCAGACGGTAGTTGTTCAAATAAGGCTTCTCTGAGAGTAGCACGACCTTAGGATTAGTTGAAATAACAAAGAAATCTACCTCTTTAGATTTCTATATGATCTCAACATCATACTATCTGAATGGCTTTCAAGAATTCATGAACATATTCTCACAGCAGCCGTTTGAAGTAGAGAATAACATTATTAGCACAATTTTGCAAATGGAGAAACCCCATGAGTGAAATTCAGTGACTTTCCCAAGGTCACACAAAAAGCAGTAAGGCTCCGATGGGCGCAGGGGTCCTTGTTATTGCAGAATCAAAGTTCTATTTGATGGAGATAGTTCTTCTTTCATATATTTGTTTGCCAAAGAGATAACTTTGCAATTGTCTGATTGATAGATACATGTACTGGACTGACTGGAGTGCCAATGCTAAGATAGAACGAGCTACACTCGGAGGAAACTTCAGAATACCTATTGTAAGCACCAATTTGGTGTGGCCAAATGGACTTACCCTGGACTATGATGAACAGCAGCTTTACTGGGCTGACGCAAATCTGTATGTATCTATGTCTCATATGTGGTAGGATTTTTTAAAGAAATTTGTTGTTATACTATTGTTACAGAGCTCAGATTTCTTTTATTCCTTTTTCATCACTTTGGATGCATTTGTTGCCATTTTATATTGTAACCCATTAATAATAATTTATTTTTTTTTAAATTCCATTGTGAAAAGTAACCAGTAAATACTTGTAAATTGGTTAATCACATGGTGATTTCTGCCTGGCAAGGTTCCCTCTAAAATGAATGACAGCACAGCCCCACAGCTGCTTAATATGCGCTACCTAGCCAGAGGCTCAGGACTCATGCAGTGAGTTGCCTGGCCGGGAGAGGGGCACTTCTCCCTTGGGAACAGCAGCAGCTTCCTGCAAAGGACAGAGCAGTGAGTCTCCCTACTAGTTGGGAGAGACCCTCTGCTCTGTCCTCAGCAAAGAGCTGCTACTGTACCTGAGGCAGAAGTGCCCCTTTGCCTGCCAGGCTGCTCCGTGCATGAGTCCTGAGCCCCTGGCTGGGTAGAGCTCATTAAGCAGCTGCAGGGCCATGCTACTGCGCAAATTAGAGGGAACCTTGCTGCCTGGTACCAGAGAAACAAAAGTGTAGGAGCCAGATTCTGCCACGGTTACTCAGTCAAAACTTCCATGATTTTCCTGACAGTTTTGATTGATTAACAAATCTTAGAATTGACCTGTGATTTTGAGAACCATGTATGTTAATAATTTGCAGCAGAAGTTCTGGTGGCCTGAAATTCACATGGAGCTAAATTTATTCTAATGTTGCTCAAGCTCATTTGTCTCATCCTTAATGCCGTATTTTAGCATCTTCGCCTATCTATACGTTGCTTCTGCACAGTTTCTCTCCTTGTTCATCATGAATGGGGAATGCCTCTCACTGTAGCATTTGGAGAAGATTCAGTGTTGCTGGAACCTCTGAGACTAAGCCTTGCCCATCAGCTCAGGCCTCTAGAACTTCTGCTTTCAGTAGCAGGACAAGTTGGTGGTTCAATCTCTCTAAGCCACTTTGTTTTATAAGTTTAATTTTTTTATTGCTGCATAGTAATTGTCTGAAGCTGTGACTTGGAGGCTCTGACAGAGAAGAAACCCCCTCACAATCTGCGCTGGTATGACTCTGGTCTCAAAAAGCCAAAAGCAAACATCCAGTTCTTAAGGCAGAGATTAATGTAGTTAATGAGCAAGTGGTATAAAATCCAGGGTTTAAACCCTTTCTCCTTTTGCCTACCCTCCATAAAGGAGCATTTGCTGGACTTTTCTCCAAACAGGAGCTATGCATCAGGATCCCTATCCAGCATGCTGCTGTTCAGACATGCAGATGCCTGGAGCACCTATAGAGCCCTTAAAGCAGTGGTCCCCAACCTTTTGTGGCTGCCAGGTGCCCGGGGGCAGGGCCACTCATGCGCCGGGTGTCTGGGGGCGGGGCCGCTCATGCGCCACGCTTCCAGGGGTGGGGCCATGCATGCGCCGCGCACCCGGGGCCGGCACCAGCATGTGCTGTGACCCACCCTGCGCCTGGGGCCAGCACCGCGCCCTGCACCCGGGGCCGACCCGTGCAGGCAAGGCATTACAATCCTTCACCAATTGATGGACTAGGCATCTGAGAAATGATTTATGGATTAGGAATCAAGGTGCTTTCTCTACAAGATCCCTACTGGCGTTGTGGGGAAAAGTGTCTGAGCCTTATCTGAGGCAGCCTTTCAATAGGAAGGTGCTACTGGGTTGGTTTCTGCATAATTCCTTAAATTACAGAGCTTTTGCTTTATATGAGTAACTGGCATGTCTGCTTATCATTAATCTTGTACTAATTACAATTCTGTTTTATCTTCCCCTCCTCCATATCTGTGATTCACTACTTGCTATTTCCCATTAGTGATGAAGGAGGAGAGAAGCCATGCAACAAAATGAGAAATTAGTTGCATGATAATTTTCTTTCTGTCAGCAGCTTCTTTTCTCATTCAGCCCACCCAAGTAGTTTGATGAATGACCAGAATGCGATTTGTAATAACTGAAATGCGTCTCTGAGGGAGACCTAAACATAAGTTTATGTTGTTCTCTTAAGTCTAATGATTCATTACCTGCATACTTCTACAGCTTGGAAGAACTCTTGTAGGTGTTAAATTGAAGGGCAGAGCTTAGTCCTGGAACTGCAAAATTGAACCTTCCTCGGGACACTGGGCATGATACTGTTTACTAAGGATGTTAAATATCTGATAAAGAGGCAGCAGTTTAGGGGGGGGGGGGGGGGGGGGCGGGAGAGAGTGGCAGGAGTCTGAGCCCCCAGACTGGTGCAAACCAGAACTGAGCTGGGCTGCTGGCCAGCCTGCTAAAAAAATTACTGGTTGGGGGAAATATGTGTAGTCTATAGCATTAACCTATACACTTTTGCTTATCAGTTAATCGACTACACTATAACGTCCCTACTGTTTACAGTGTACAGAAGATTTTTTATTCCACTGACTGTCTTCATATAAGCATAGCATCACTATCTATATTTCTGCTTATGCAGCCTTGATGGGCCTTGCCTTCTCTTTCATTGTACTGTGAAAAAAGGAGCAACAGCAGGGCAATCACAGAGACACATCGTTGAAGGAGAGAAGTAGAACTCACCTGGCCTTCTTTCTCTTGTCACCAAAGTCCTGCCACGTGTGCATGTGCCTCATTGGGATATCTGATCATCAGAATGCTGGTAGATGGAATCAGGCACCAGCCTCTACCCAGGGCATAATACACTGTTCACATTTGCTCCAATTTCTGTAATTCCCCCATACTCCACCAAGTATTTTCTCCTCATTGCTCACTTTTTCTCTACTGATTCCCAGTTTCTAACAATACCATACTTCTTTTTTACCAAGCATTTTCTCTCTTCTCCCTGAAATCCTTCCTCAAGGTGCATTTCTTCTAGAAATCTTTCCTATTTTGTCATCTTTCCTGCCAACAGTCTTTCCACACCGTCCTTTTTCTGTACTCTTGTATTGTGTTTTATGTGTGGCTTACCTGCTTGGACTGTAATCTCTGTGCCTTAAGTGCTGCAAATATTTGTGGCCCAATAAAATTATTTTACCTAATAATGCACCAGAAAAATGTAGCATAAATTGATTCTTTCTGAAGCAGCACTATCTGACCTCCACTGGAAGAAGGCACAGGTGGGTCAATAGTGCTAATAGGGATAGGATAGATAGACAGCACAGAACAGGGATGCTACTTGCCACAGAATCTGGAGTTGGAGCCTGTATCTTGTGTGGACCTCTGAAATCTTGCTTCTGTTAGTTCTGCTCATCATTCCAGACAGAAGCCTGAACAACAAGGTCAACAGAGAAGAATATGTGGTTATTTATACCAACTCTTCTTCTTTCATAGTTTATTCATGGGAAACTTAACACATAGGCTTATATATTTATTTTATATGTGATCTTCTATGTATTTCCTGGTAGCATGGATTTGGGTCTACAGTCGTGGCAAAAAGAAAATAACTTTTCCCTGTATGGTGCCGTTTTATTCCTACAGCAAGGCAACATGAATTTTGAGTCCTTTCAAAGGAAAGAATTCTGTCGTGAAATTTGTGCACATTTTGGCTATGTTTAGTGCATATGTTTAAATGCGTTCTTCTAAAAATTGATTGCTTCCAGTACATTATTTTATTAACGTTTCAAAATCATTACTTTGTATCATTATTGAGCCAGTAGTTTGAAAAGCCTCAGAGACATCAAACTGTAATAACAAAATCTTAATTAAATATGCTCTAGTATTTAATTGGTGGTAACTGGTCACAAAGTATAATTAAGAATGTACTGATACCTGCAAAAGTTTAAAAGTTTTAGCATTTTCTTTTTTTTTAGACAGAAGATTGAACGATGCTCCCTTTCTGGTTCCAATCGTGAAGTAATTATTAACACTGCGCTGTATCCATTTGCCATGACCTTGTTTGATCAGCACATTTACTGGACAGATTGGAATACCAGAAGTATTTACCGAGCTAACAAATATGATGGCTCAGATCAGATTGTAATGATTATGAATCTACCACAAAGACCAATGGATATTCATGTTTGGTCAAAAAGTAAGCAGCAGCAGTGCATCAATCCTTGCAACCAATTTAATGGTGGTTGCAGTCACATCTGTGCACCAGGTAAACTATTATGTTTAATGATAATGTTGACTATAGCAAAACTCATAGTATGGGGGAGGTTTTAAAATTACAGTAAAACTCCATTAGTCCGGCAGCCAGTGCTCCGGGACTCCTGATGATCCGGCACCATCAGGAACCCGGAAATGCTGGGGCAGCCGGACAGGCTTCCCCCATTCTGCTGCTGAAACTGACCAGCAGCTGAATTGGGGAAGCCGGGAGCAGAGCAGCTGGGATGCTACCGGGTTGGTCCCGTAGCGCTGCCCCTCGGTGCTACAGCACCAACCCAGCAGCACTCTAGCTGCTCTTGGGGACGCCTGGGGTAGAGCAGCTGGGACCAACCCGGCAGCACCCCAGCTGCTTTGCCCCAGGCGTCGGGATTCAGCTGCTGCTGAAACTGACCAGCAGCATCCATTTCACTAGCAGGCTGAATCCGGATGCCTGGGGCAGAGCAGCTGGGGTGCTGCGGGGTTGGTCCCATAGCGCCGCCCCTTGGCGCTGCGGGACCAACCTGGCAGGACCCCAGCTGCTCTGCCCCAGGGGTCCCCAAGTCAGCCGCTGCTGAAACAGATCAGCGGCTGATTCCAGGAAGCCCTGGGCAGAGCACCTGCTCCACTCTGTACTCTCTGTAACCCCTCTTGCTTTATGCGGATGTGCCTGGTGCTCAAATTTTGGTGGGCCTGGATGTTATTTGGTTGGGCCATGGCTCACCCAGGGCTACGTCCCTGCTCAGTTCTTCACTATCCCCAATCATATTTTCACCTGCTGTCTATGGGCAGGTTGTATTCCCTATGCTTACGGTAGCCATTTCCTGGTCTAATCTAAAACCTGGTCTAATCTAAAACCTATCTCATTAAGATTAAAACTACACAAACCGAATTTTCTGTGCTAATGTGACAGCTGCCATTTTGGCAGATACACTAGGATTTGAACTACATAAACTGCTACAGGTAGAGCTAAAGAACACTAATTGCTAACTGGGGCAGTACTGGACTCCTGTCTTCTATGGATTCGGCACAGAGGGTGCCTATAACACATACTACCCAGTAGATTATATTTGGACCTCAGAATAGTACCACATCACTAAATACTTCATGCTGTAAATTTAAAATTTCATCATAATCTTGATTTTTTTAATCTCGGTATGACAAAATCTTTCCATTCCCATTATTTCCCACACACTTTCCAAACCCCTTGCTTTACAATTTCCATTTGTTTTGTTGCATTATTTTAAAAGCTTTGGCATTTGAAATCCCAATTTCTAATAGAAAATGTATGGGTTTCATAATGTAGTACAAGTTTGGCACAAGCTGCAACCATAAAATGCATTAGGGAGGGCAAGATTTTTAATGTCATTTGACCTCCTAAAGATGCAAATAGGTGCCTAGTGGAATTTCCAAAAGCACCTAGGCACCTATCTCCTATTCATTGTTAACCTGGAGGCAAGGAGAAAAACTCACATTGACATCAATATGAACAGTTAGTCTAATGTTCTCCAGTTATAAGGACGAGATCTTCAGCTGCGTGGCCTCAGTTTTTACAACACAAGTGATTTTCTCGCTTGGACTGAAAAAGTGAATCTATTATCACATGGAGAACAGCCCAGAGTTTGCATGGCATTTATAGCAAACAAATATAATTCAGTGCACCTAATTTTGAGCTCAGTTACTCCAGCATAACTCAATTAAGTGGATTGACACAGGTGACCTGAGATCAGAATCTGACTGAGTAGCCTTGGTTGCTGTTATACTTCAGCAAACATTAGCAAATGTTATAGCTGTAAATATTTAATTTTGAGTCGGTACGCTTGTCCTTTATTTTCCCCTTCTTTTTTGGTCTCAAATGTATACAGGTCCTACTGGTGCAGAGTGTCAGTGTCCTTCTGAAGGTCGCTGGTATTTAGCCAACAATAACAAGCACTGTATTGTGGACAATGGTACCAGGTGTGATGGAGGGCTCTTCACTTGCCTCAATGGGCGATGCATCTCAGAGCGGTGGAAATGTGACAATGATAATGACTGTGGGGATGGAAGTGATGAGCTGGAAAGTGTGTGTGGTAAGCATTTTAAGAACTGTGTTAGAATGTGACACAGGGCTCAGTCCTGCTCCCTCGGACCTCATGGGCACTTTTTCCATTGGCTTGATAACAATGGGATTGAGTCATGAGCCAGTAATTCAAATTGGGATCCTGCCTGCTATCTGATTTTGCATCTGCATCTTCATGTGTATTATGGCAACACTTTGGCATTAGAAACAAGAAAGGATTTGTAGGCACTTACTTTAACTTTAAATCATGTTGATCTGGCTTTACCTTTTTACTTTGTCTAATTCAAAATGTGTATTTTACTTTTCATGCAGTCCGTTTTGCAGCGGTGTTTGCTCTGGCAGGTAAAAGTAAAGTGTATTTTCCTTTGCTACATTTGTCAGGAAGTTGAGTTTACATTGTATCCATGATGGTTCCTCCTTGTTTTTATCCCCTTTAGCTTTTCATACCTGTCAGCCAACAGCTTTTACCTGTGGCAATGGGAGGTGCGTACCTTATCACTACCGCTGTGACCACTACAATGACTGTGGAGATAACAGCGATGAGGTGGGCTGCTTGTTCCGAACTTGTGACTCCCACACAGAATTTACTTGCAACAATAGAAGGTGTATATCTCTTGAATACGTCTGCAATGGAGTAAACAACTGTTACGATAATGGCACTTCTGATGAGAGAAATTGCCGTAAGTTGATTATAAGTGCCAGCAATTAAAATATTTATGAGCAATATGAAAGCATAGATATTATAATAATTATTTTATTATTATTGTTATTGTTATTTTATTTCTTATTATTTTAAAATATCCTGTCCTCAGTACATCCCCATACCTGGAAAAAATTGTGCATCAGCCTCACTTTATGAGCTGTTAAAAAGTCCCATTAAGTTTAACAGGACTATGCATGGTGCATTAAGTGCCCGTGTAAGTGTTCACAAGCTTGGGACCCAAATGTTTGCAGTGGATTTATGTTGTAATATTATATATAATTCTTACCATGTTAATAGCAATAGCTTTAATACTCAACAATAAATATTATTCATGTTACCACAGAGTTACTTACATGGTTTAATATGTATTCTTTATATTGCTTAAGAAGTGGAAATTCTTCATTAGTTAATTGTTCATTTAAAAAACAAATGATTGCTTTGGAAATGAGTATTATTTTAATACCATTTAAACTGCAATTAAATCAATGTGGACCAATAATATGGTAATCAGGCTAATCAATCCTTCTGGTCATTAGGAAGTTCTTCTATAAACATTCATAATTGGAGCTGAGCAAAAAATCAGAAATGCATGAGAATTGCATTCAGTTAAGGTAGTCTCTTTTTCTGCGTGTGCCATATTAGTTGATATATTGTGATTTTCTGGAATGTACTCATGACTTGCATTTTTCTAAACTTTTTGAAAATTTTATTCTATAGATTTGTCATAATCATTCAAAAGTTCAGCTAGGTTGCTTTTTCATAGTTGATCTGATAAGTCATATAGTACAGTATTATTTCTTTCCGAAGTAGTTGACTATACAAGCACTTCTAATATGAATGTATGTACATGTGAAGTTACAGTATAGTTTCTGTGAATACTAGCATATACTACTTTGAAAATGCATTTTGCCAGTATTTTTGCTGGTAAAACTCAATTGCCTGAATGTTCACAGAGAGCAAGAGGACAGAGTCATGTGCATGGCCCCAAGGAATTCATATCAACATTGGAACCAAAATGAGTAGAAAATGTTTAGAGTTATTTGCCCATCTCTGTTTGTGACATCTCAAGGCATTCATGTTTAGCCATTAATCAACAGAAAATATCCCAGAAAAATATGTAAAAATCTATTTTGTTGTACGGTTGATTTAACCGGGAGGGAAACACTTAGTTTTGCAGCTATTTTAGCTCCCTCTGGTGTTTTAAAGCCACTTTGTGTTCTTTGGAATGCACTGTGATATAGAGGCAGATAAAACTCACACAAGACATGGACAATTTACTCCAGATTAAATTTAATTTTACCAACATTGTGTTTCTTACAATATGATACAGTTTAGTGTGATAAAAATGCTCTAAACATTTGCTGTCCTCTTTCCTTCTTAAAGCTGAACGCACTTGCCAATCTGGCTTTACAAAATGTCAAAGCACAAATATTTGCATTCCTCGAACATATCTATGTGACGGCGATAATGACTGTGGAGACATGAGTGATGAGAGTCCCACTCACTGTGGTAAGTAAATAGAGCCTTAATCACCTTTCTTCACTTCAGTATTTCATTCCACTGGTGCCGCTGGTACAAGCTCAAATGTTCTTGTAACATCTGTTCTTTATACTTCCTGAGGTTTAGGAGTTATATTTACTGTAACTTACTCACCATTTATGAGTCTCAGGTTTTTCCAATGAAATCAGGCATCATTTCTTGATCTTTTTTGTTCAATATTTCAAGAACCTCTAATCCATTCTGATTATTATTTTCTGTACCTGCCATATCATTGGCTTTCAACTGGTCTAAGATTTCCAAAGGGGACTGCACCTCCACTGGAACTTTTTAAAGAGGTCTACAAATGAAAAAGTTGAAAACCAATCTTCTGCCTCTTTATAGAATTCTCAGACTTCATTGCACTGCTACCCCTTCTGACAATAAAAATTACTACACAACCCCAGGAAAGGGACTGAAAGCTTGAGCCCACCTGAGCCCCACTGCTCCGGGCAGGAAGCGGGAGGAGGTGAGGGCAAAGCTGAAGCCAGTGGGCTTCAGCTCTTGGTGCAGGGTCTGTAACTAAGTCCCAACATACAGGGCTGAAACCCTCAGGCTTCAGCTTTGGGTGGTGGGGGTTAGGCTTCAGCAAGGGTAAGCCAGCCCTAGCAAACCACTTTGGGATCCTGACCTATGGTTTGAGCACCACTGTTCTAGTATCATATTTTTACAAGATTACTAGAACTGAGCATGCTATTCTGAGTAGTCCCTTAGGGCTAGAATAACTTCCTTCCTTTGTTGCTTTGGTTTATACAATCTAGTCTATAGTTTATTTTATGTTCCTCAAGTGTTTATATATCCTAGAAAACAGTCTTTTTCATTGCTTCTAAGCACTGTGTAAAAGTATCTTGTTTTCTCTCAGTCATAACTACCAGATCTTTTTTCTTTGCTAGCATAGAAGTTGGGGTTATGTATTTCCTCCCCTTTTTAAGGTATCCCAGGTCAATTTGTAAAATGTACAAGGTATGTTTACTATTACTGGCTCTTTACTTTGTAGTGATTTAATGGGTTGTTTTTGACTGAACTTTTTATCTCATAACTATCTATATCGAATTGTATGCTCTTTCCCACAGTCTTTATAAAATACAAGCCCTGCTTTTGCCCACAGAATATGGCTAGCTTATGGTTGGAGCATGTGTGACAGAAAGAAATGTTGGCTGCCTTGCCAACCACTAGGAATTGCAAGTCTTGTGCTGCTAATGAAGGATGTGCTCCCTCTTTTTGTATAGTAAATCTCAAAAGTTTGGCTGTATTACTAACAGGTGTTCTTTAGGGTAAGAGAAAGAAAAACTGTAGTGCCCTGTTGAGGAAAAAGAGCAGAAGGTAAAGTGGGAGGAAGAGAAGGACAAAAGGGAAGAACTTAAATAAGCTCAAGGGTGTTAATGAGTAATACATTAAATGCCTCTGAATTCCTTAGTTGTAGGAAACAAATGAAGATAACAGAATCAAGGCCAAACTGCAGATTTCTGGCTTGTAGAGTTCCATTTTCCAGTTATTCTTAAAGTGAAAATCAGCTTAGCCTCATGTCAAATATAAATGTACAATATGCTTTTCTCTCTCTAATTGATCTGTGGGATCTTATACTAGGGGCAAATTCTGCATTCCCATAAGTGGATGCAATTGGAGAAACTACATATCCTTGTCTAAGGAGAGAATTTGGCCCCATAGTTAAATAGAAAGAGCAGTTAGATTGTATGAAAACCTCTTGCAGATAGAATATGAAAGGATATGCTTGCTACCATAATTTTTTCTTTTTCTTTTTTGGGGTCTATAATGTTTTTGCATATCATGGACTCAAAAGCAACTTAAAACAAGTTGGAAGGGTAACAAAAAGAAAGAAGTTATACATAGGTTTTTTCTTCCAGTCTCACTGACTTGCACAAATAGTT